CGGATGATGTTCTGACTGCTGGGCGTGGATCTGTGAGCTTGACACCGGGAGTGTGCTGGCTGCCGCCGACTGGACTCCGGACGTGGACACGGGAAACGAGGACTGAGCCGTTGCTGTGTCATCTTCTCCACCGGAGCTGAAAACGGGCAGATTTTCGATCTGCCCCAGATTCGTTCTTATTATTATTTATTTCTGTAATTTATTTGTTAAGTCTTAATCCCCTTCCCCTTAGGCTTATTAATCTGTGTAATTCATTTGATTAAAGGTCTGTAATATTAATGCTATTTGAACGGCCACCCAACAAAAGGAAGTGAATTTTTTTATCTTAATACATGAGTTTCTTCGTTTTCATCAAGAACGTTGTTTTATATATATGTCAATCACACAACGTAAAACGGTAGGAAAAGAACTTCGAAAACAAAAAAAAAAAGTCAAAATCGGATTTATGGATCAAAATTGATGAAATTGATATTGAATTAGGGTTTAAATCATGAATTGGTGGGTGGATTTAAATGGTTGAGGGTGATTTTGTTATGAATATTAGGGTTCTTTACGACAAAGGAGTGCGGGCTTACTTGCGATTAATGATGAACCTAATTTGTCAGGGACCTCCATTTAAAACGCATTTTAATTCTTCAACCTAATGGTTATTTTTATGAGTGAAAGCCGGATGGAACAGATGAGAATTAACATTTTTAGAAAGTTTTCAATTATTTTATGAATTACAAATCAATTGTTATTTCAATTCCAAAAAATTGAATCTAAAAATTCATTCTGATTCAATAAGTTACGAAAATTTCAAAATTTTGGAAAATTCGAGTATCACATTAGTTAAATTATTAATATTACATTCGAGTATCACATTCGAGTTTCATAATATTCAACCATACGAGGGACTTTTTTATAAATTTATTTGAAGTTCGACTTGACCTTGCACGACGACTATATAGTTGGATTCGTTCTGTTTAGTTAAAAACTTAACTAGCATTACTTAACTAGTAGAAAAATAATGATTTAAATACATGACAATAACATTATAATAAGAAAATATATCACATTAGTCATTACTATAATAAAATTTATTAATATCAGTATTCATGGAAATATGGTAATACAAACCACTATGCAAAAGATGACGTAAACTTAATTGTTGTAAAATGAAATTGGTCCTTCAAGAAATGAATCAATTAATAAATAAAAAATTTAGAGAAAAAAAATAAAATGAAATAAATTTATAAATATAACTAGAGATGTATGTTTAGGGTTACCTTAGTGTTCTTTTTCTTTTCTTTTCTTTTACACTAGTACCAGTACCCGTGCGTTGCACGGGGTTACATATTCCAACGGAATCATACAAAAACAAATACATGAGTAAGATAATAAAGAATAAAATACAAATTGTCATCATAGAATGCATATTTGCTACTTCTAACACTTCAAAATCTTGAACTGCTAAAAAATGACTGCACTTCGCCGATGCCAAAGACAATAAATGCAAGTTAGCAATTACCAATAGCATCAGATATAGGTTAAAATAGCACAAAAACGTTGTTGAATAAAAATACGAAACAAATTCGTGGAAAATAATAACCTTTGATATTGAAAGACAATTTGACCTCAAAGTTAATATATTCATTTAATGAATCACATATAGGGGTGGAACTCGGAACGAAATTTCAATTTCCACCGATTCCTATCCGAAGATTTTCGATTTCAGAACAACTTTTTGTAATCCAAAGTAAAAATTCCGATTTCCGTATTTTCAAAAAAAAAAAAAAACAGATCATAATTGGAATTTGATATGTAATCTTCGGAATTTCCGAATTCCGATCCGTAAATAATTCGGTATACTACTCTATCAAATAGTCTATTCTTATGTCATTATTTATAAATTTAAATAAACGTACAACTTAAAACGGAGAGATTATGACACTTCGATGCTCTTTTTCTTGTGTTTAGTTTTGTTTTTGTTATCGCATATAATTTCGATAATTTTGGCGCAGGGACTTGTAGAATTCAGAGACTTATTTCTTGGAAGTGAACATATTTTATCCAACATGGAAACTGAATTTAAAAATTATTGAAATAATCTAAAGAAACCCGAAAAAAATATGTTACATATATGGAAACATGGAAACATGATCAACTTACAGTATATAATATGTTACATATATCTAAAGAAACCCAAAAAAATAAGCTTAAGAATTCATCACACCATCTGTAAAAGAACAAAACTTGGATTATGCAAATGAAGATTATAAAAAAAAAAAGGAAAAAACCAAATAATAAAATGGTAGACATTTTTAACCCTGGTAAGAACGTTCTTACTTATTTGGAGTTAGACGGTCCATCAATTTACGAAGAAAGAAACTTAGCACATCAACACATCTTTTAAACGACTTGCAAAAAACTACTCGAAGAACGACTTCTTTTGGAGTTTTGAACCAAATAAAGGAGGAAACAAAATGAACTTTAGGTTTGAGCGACTACCATCGATCCATAGTTTGATATAGAATTAGATGTAGGAAATGGAGCAATACTGTTCCTTTTCTGGGTAGACTGCGACAAATTTTAGGGTTAAAGAAATCATACACATCTCAGAACTTATAGTATACAATAACCATACAATAACAATGATAAGTTTAAGATAATAAAACAAAAAAGATAATCAAGAGTATTAAAGAAGAGATGGAAGTTATGACATAATCGATCACATTATTCATTTTACAACTTCCCATGGTTCTAGCCGTACATGATCTACTATTCCAGCCGTGGGTTACGTTCTTACAGCGATCACATTCTTCATTGTACAACCATTCAATTCTTTATATCTTTCCTTGAAAACTTTTGCATATCTCTTCTCACCATCTGAAAGGTTAGACACTCACGTAAATAAACGCAAAAAAAAGTAGTTAAAATTATTCACTTTTGCAATTAAATAGAATTGTAAGCTACAAACCTTATGCTCGAAATTGTTTATCCAGGAAGTGGATGGGAGAGAAGAAAAAACGTAGAATATATTGCCAATGGATGCAACGGGTTTCTTTCCTCTAAAACAATTGCGATGTTATAGAAAATCAAAGAGGCCGCGTTTGTAGATCCATCTGGAAGTTATGAGGTTAAATTTGAGGAGAGGAGTTGTTTAGAGAGGTTACCACTCATGTCTTGCAATTGAAGATCGTGTAAAGGAAAAAAAATCCGAAAGAGCTGTAAAAAAAAACAAAGTTTTGAAAATTCAAACTGAACGTAAAATATGTCAGGGAAGTGGAAGGAAATTAAATAAAATGTATCTCAGGCCTTGTGCAAGCATTTTCTGTCTTCCCCATATGCAAAGGAATCCAGAAGCTAAACATTCCATTTTTACTGAAAATGAATAAAAACTTGTTTAAATAAACCAACTATAGGTATATAAGATTCAAAGATATCTAGAAGCAGTAGGAAAGTATTGTTGCGAAGATATATGTTAAGAGTTAGTTTACGATAATATAATCGATCAGAAATTGGTAAAGACAGCTAAAGCCAGCATTTATATAGTTTCCAATCTGCTCTGTTAAGCAAACTCGTGAGAGTTGTGGCCGGGAAGAAAAAAACCATTAGTGTTAATTTCTCATCAATAAAACAACAATATAAATATTGAAGTTATCAATCAATTTGACAAATCTATCGATTTCTAGCTCACCAATAAAAAGAAAAGAAAATATTTTCAAACCAAAACAACAAACTAAAATAACAAACCAAAAAGAACAACCTTCTTAGCCTGATTATGTCCTTATCTTTCAGCCGCACACCTTTAAGGCTTCAAGTTCTTGAATTTTCCTCGCCGCTTCTTTTTTCGATAAAGTCGACTCTGATTTTCTGTCTCACAATAAACACAATAATTGCTACCTATAGTGGAAAAGCAATACTCAACCATTTGTATCTCTTTCAACTGCAGGTCTCCACGATCTTCTAGCCCCTCTTCTTCTTCTCTATCGATAGCGTCGCCTTTCGCCAGATATTGGGCTTCTATGCTGAATGTTCGATGGTGGTCTTCTTCTCCTCTAATTTCTTCTCAGCTTTGTTGGATTATATTTGATTTTTTCTGTTCTCATTGGAGATGAGAGTAAAGAGTGAATTTTAAATATGTTTGAGATACCGTAAGGAAAATTGAAAAACTGATTTGAGAAATAGAAGTAGAGAGCATGAGATAGTGGGTAGTTTAATTGAAGGAGATACGTAATGTAACAAAAAAAAACTGCCTATAGAAATTAAAAAAATTGAAAAAGGAAAAACTACCAGTAGTTTTAATATCGTGTGAAATAGGTTTGTGTTTGCAGTTTTTTTTATGTTGGGCAGTTTTTTCACTGTTATTATATATATGGAAAGAGAGAAAAAAAAAACAGAGGTGTATCGAAAAAGCAGGAAAAAATAAAAACTGACTTAGAAAAAAGAAAAAAAAGAAAAAACTGCCATGATAGGAAAATGACTAAAATGCCCATAGGTTTAGATTTTAGGGTTATAGGTCAAAATATCTTCTTTTATATATAAGATATAAGATTTAAATTGAATTAGTTTCTATGATTTAACTTAAGAATAAACAAGTTTATAAAAGTACGTTGTTTGGGTTAATTAAAAAGAAAAAAATATTGATCATATTCTTGTTGACATTGTGACAGCATTAATTGGTCGTGTGATCTATTAATTAAACTATTCTCTTTGTGAAAGAAAAAAAAAACATTATCCTAATAATTAATTAAGATCATAGTATAGTATTTCTTATCTGTCCAAGTTCAGTTAGTTTGTGATGTACCTAACATGCTATCTCGTCCCAATTCATTTTGTAACTCCACATAATAATTATTAAATCCAAACACAAATCTCATTGTTCCAATCTCCCAATTGTTCTTGAATTTCTATTTTCTTTTCTTTTTTCACCAAATATACATACATATATATAAGCATCATTCTTGATTCTTCCTTTATGGTACAATTCGTGTTTCGAGTTTTCGGTATATCCAAGAATGAAGAATCAGCAGTTTACGAGTGGTTCGTCGTTTGATTTATCGGCACAGATGACATCGTTTGTTCATTCCAGCTCGTCGTCGGACGATTCCGATACTTTTTCTGGTACATATATATATACTAATCTTTATTGGGGATTTTTTTTTTTTTTTTTGTGAATTTGGATAAAAGAATTATAATATAATTATAATTATTATATATGATTTTAAGACAAGGTAATTTTCAGATTGTGAATGCAGCAATGATAATCTCACGTGCTCCCGAATGTCGAACGGCTACGATATCGACGGTTTTCGATCGAGAGACTGTTTGAAATCACTTATCCAATCGTGTCTCGATTCTAATCAAGAAGGACTAACAATGTTAGATCACAAGTCAATGTCTGAGAATTTGAGCAATTACACACTTAGTGTGAGTCCTATATACATTGTGTTTTTATTTTTTTAATTTTTTTTAATTTTTTTTAAATTTTTTTAATTTTTTTTAATTTTTTTTTTAATTTTTTTAATTTTTTTTATTTATAAATGTGAGTTTACGACAGGTCGAAAATTGTCCGAACGGCAAATCTACACTAGAGAAGCAACAACCTCAAGTTAGTTTTGGTCAAGGAAGTGCATCATTTTCATTTGCTTCTCCTAGTAATAATGTTGTCTTTAATTCGGGCAAATTAGAGACGAAAAAGAATAAAAAAACACGAGTTAAATGGACTAGAGAACTTCACGACAAATTTACAAGATGCGTTGAGCTTCTAGGAGGTTCCAAGAGTAAGTTATACAGAGACGGCGGTATATATAACAAGAAAAAAATCGAGAGGCCGAGAATTTAATTAAATTAATTTATTATGATGTTTATTTATTTATTTATTTAATTTCGGATTATAATGTACTGCAGATGCGACGCCGAAGGGAATCCTAAACCTAATGAAATGTGATGGACTAACCATCTTTCATGTTAAAAGTCATTTACAGGTCTCACATTACTAATCATAATTCATATATGTTCGATTTTATTTTTTAATTAATTTTATTTTTATATAATTTTTCGATTGTCCCTTTCATCATATCGATTTATCTCTGCGTTTTTCGTTTTACAGAAGTATCGTGTCGCTCAGGTTATATCTGAAGCAAGAAAAGGTACTATATATATATTTAAAAAAAAAAATTAACTCATAGCAAAAATCTGTCTGATAAATTAAGTTCAATAATAAGCTTTACTTTGTTAGTTTGTAATTGACCTTTTAGTGAACGAATTTGCAGCGGACGCTATGCAGCACGTCGACACAAAACGGTAGTTGCATAATGATTATTTTGCTCGTGTTTCGTTTTTGAATAAATTAAACAGCATCAAAATTATATCTTCCTTTCATTTTTTTTAATTTTTTTTTTTATTTTATTATGTAAAATCCAGCTAGTGTTCCATTTTCGTTTCACGCAGTCCCGGTTTTTTTAATACAATTATATATATGGTTCATTGTAAAGGAGTGTACAGATTGAGGAAGCACTAAGGCAACAGAGGGATTTTCAGAAGCTTCTTTGTAAACAATTAGAGGTTTGTATATAACTATAACTATGTTTTCTGATATTTAATCCAATACCAAATTAATTTATGATATATATATAATCTATTATTAACAAATTTCTTTTTTTTTTTTCATTTATACTTGGTTTTTTTTTTAAAAGAATCAAAAGAAGTTGCAGTTGCGGATCGAAGAACAAGCGAAGCAGCTTCGTGCTATGATTGAATGCCAATTCAGAACCAAAAGAGACTTCTAATTATATTATGTTTGATAGCTTGTACTAAATATATACTCTTTAAGTACACTCATTTCTCGTGTTAAAACAAATTAAAATAGTATTAATTAATTCATTGTGGGCGTATTTGCAATCTGAGTTCCCGATTATTAGCAACGAGCGATAGAGAAAGATGTATGCTCGGAACTGGTTTTCCATCGTAAAATTAGTTTCAAATCGAGAGGTAAGTATTATTTGAAATCGACTATGAAATCATCCAACCAAAAATAACTTAGTGATAATATTGGTGGAGTAGTTCTATTTAATTTATTGTTGTTAAATCGCAAATCGACTCGTGAACCGTTTTGCTAAATTGACAAATCATAAATCGTAACTAGTCGTGAAAATTAAGAGTTCGAATTCTTATTGAAAATTTAACATATGTGAATATTTAATTTAAACATATGTGAATATTCATAAAAATATATATATTAGACTGATACAAAAAAATCTTGTTCAATTTATGTTCTATAAAAAAAGAATATTTATATCAAACAAGATGGTCAATTTCATTTTTAACACAATCATAATATCCATTTTGAATCGTAGAAATTAATCATGTATAACTGAAGCAGAACATAGACGTTGGATAAAATTACATCAAATCGAATTTCTATTCAAGATTAAAATCGGAAAATTTGAAGAAATCGAAATGAGCTACTGAATCAAATAGTAAATCGCAAGAGCTAAAGAGTTATGATTATTATAACATAATACTACGTACTACCGCCCTTAACCTAATAAATTAATAACTCTTAGCCCTAAACTCCAAAATTCACAAGAATATTCGAATCTAATTAACGCTAATTAAGAATACTACTGCATGCTACTTGAACCAGCAGTTGCTTTATCATCAAACCATTTCCTGGTCGGTCTTTCGAAAGTTGATAACAAAACGGGGCGCGTTTTTGTCGTTATTGTTAATGACTTGATAACCCTAGATTTCGATCCAATCGCCCTTCTTCGCGTTGTGCTCGGAGATTAGTCTATTCCATTCTTTGTTAATCAAGCTTACCCACAACGTATAACACAGCTTATAAAGCTTGCCGTTATGATCGAATGTAACGGTATTAACCAACTGGATTGGAAGAGACGAAGGAAACGACGACATTTTGTGTTGATAAAAAGTATTAGTACTTATAAAAGTGTGTTTGTATATTTTTAATGCGAGCAACTTTAGTTTGTTAGGTGAGATTGGATGCGTCCAATTATCGTATGACACGTGGGTCACCTTCTTTAGCCAACTGCGGCTATAAATAGAACGGGCAGCTGAAGAAGAAGGATTATGGAAATTGTAGACTGTAATTCTAACATTCTGAATAAGAAAAGAGGGGAGTTGAGAGCTGAAACAGTTAGGGTTTAATCGTAATCCTAACAAGTGGCCATCAGAGCCATATTCTGGCACTGGCGCACGCACGCACTCTGAAATCGATCGAAGATGGCGAAGAACAATACACGCGTGGAAGCAATAGAGCAGCAGATGTCAACAATGGAGGAACAGACGAAAGCATTGGAGCAGCATGTTGCGAGTTTATTCAGTGGACAGCAAAATCTACGGCTGGAATTGAGTAAGGGTGTGGAAGAAAAGTTAACGGAAGCTAATCGACGTACGGATCAGAGATTTGATGAACTGGCGAAGAAATTGGAAGAATTAGGGCGACTGTTGGTGGCAAATCGTGGCAAGGAACCGTTGCAGAATACTGTGAAAGAATTTATGGTCCCGAATTCGTATTATACAGAGATGTTATCTGAAGTGTTGTGACACTTGAGACAACATGCAGCGGAAATATAAAGATTAAAAGACAGTACTCAGAATTAAAAATGTTCACAAGTAAAGACTTGTGAACTTGCCCTTTACAGGACGAAAAATATATTGAAATCAGTATTCCAAGAATACAAACAGAAGAGGTGCGAAAACTTCTTCCTTATGAATGAATCTTTTTCAAGATCATTCTTACAATCAAATCTAGATACTAAAAGAAAAATATTAAAAATTCTAGGTTTCAAAGATGTACTCGTGAGGAGTACGTAAAGAACTTATGAATGAATCACTATCTTGATCATTCTTACAACCAAGTCTAGAAACATATATACTAAACAATCTAGACTACAAAGAATGTACTTATGAGAAGTACGTAAAGAATGTACTCATAAGGAGTACGTAAAGAATGTACTCATGAGGAGTACAAACGACCGATTCTAAAACCACTCTAAAACACTCGTGAATATTCTTCAGCCCTCGGTTTTTATCTCGTCGAATCGATTAATCTTCCTTGAGTATTGAAGTCGGTATTTATAGGCATTCCAAGCATCCACTACTCAGCCCATGATCTGCAAGAAAACCAACCACAAGAGCACTCAAGAACATGGGTTAGTGGGTTAGTGGATTAGTTTAAGGAGTTAGAATAATATTCACAATTAAACCCACTTAAGCACTACTTAGCCCACTAAGCACTATACTTAACCCACTAAGCACTATTTTTTCCATAACTAAAATTTAGTTAGAAAATAAGAAAGTTAAAAACAACATGTGGAAATAATCCACGTAATTCAAACTCCCCCTTTTTAACTTTCTGATCAAAACTAAATTTTAGCTTAACTCCCCCTTAGTCATTACTTGAACTCCCCCTGAGTCATTGCTTGAACTCCCCCTGAATTTCACAACCAACATGAACATAAAGGTTCAGAGGAAAAATAAAAAACTGAACAAAACCAAATATTGTTCATAAAACAAAGTAAAGTAGAATATCCAAAGTCTCTTCAGTATCAGCTGCTGCTCCTCCATCATTAGCGCTGGATCCACTGCTTTCCTTCATAAAACAAAGTAAAGTAGAATATCCAAAGTCTCTTCAGTATCAGCTGCTGCTCCTCCATCATTAGCGCTGGATCCACTGCTTTCCTCTGCTCCCTCTTTATTGACTCCTTGCTCCCTGCCTCTGGCATCCAAAGGATGAGAAGTCCCTGCTTCAATCTTCATGACTAGCTTTTTTTCTCCCCCTTTTTGATCAGAAAGATCTCTCTGAAGTATTTCCACCATGCACTGATGATAGGTGATCTGAACTAGGGAGTGAGTAAGCTGTTTTAACAAAATAAATCTCGAGAAACAGAAATAAGGATGTCAGGAGTGTTGTCAACATGAGGAGCAACACCTTCAGTACCAAGATTATTTTGACCTGATTCAGTTGAGAGGGAATTATCTCCATTCCAGGGAAGATCTTAAAATTTTGAGAAATCAGAATGGAGTGGATGAAAGAGGGATTTAAAACGATTGCCAGAAAGAGTCTTACAAACTTCAGTAAAATCACCATAATTATCCTCATCAATCATAGTAGAAGTTTGTAAATGAGAGTTGATAATTTTGAAAAAAAATAGAATTTCACACAAAAACTTTTTTTTTAAGTTTGGAGAATTTTTCTTTAAAAAAGAAGTTTGTAAATTGGCATAAAAATTCCTTCACAACAGAAAGATCATAAGGACAGGCAACCTCAACTTTGATCAAGAAAAACAGTGATCATATGCCTATCAAACTCATCATTTGAAAATTTTCTTTTCCTCAATTTGAATCAGATTCAAAATAAAATATATAACTGAAAGCATTGGTTACCTCAAAAGGAGTTGACAAATTCTTCCCATTCAAGTCTGGTTCCTCTTCTTCTGAGGAGACTTCATCTTCTGAATCTTCAAGCTCATCAGGGACATATGCTGGTTCAGGTGATGCAGCAGGTGGGGCAACACCTTCTTTTTGCTGAGAAGAGTCTTCAGAGGATTCACTGTCAGAATCAGAGGAGGGCAAATTTTTGCGAAAGGCAGCTAGAGGAACCTCCCAACTGTCATCACTTTTCTCTGGTTCTTCAGCCTGAAGTGGAGTTGCATCTGCTTGAACTGCTGCTTCTGCCATAGTTTCCAGAGGATCTCCATGAGGTGCTGATGGAGTTTCTTCTGTAGTGGTGAAGTCTTGAGCATCCACAGATGGAATATCTACATGCTCTGCTGATGACATTCCAGAGAAATCAGGCATTTCTTCATCCTGATAAGGGCCAGCATCCTCAGCAGCATTCTGAGGAGCATTTTCTGAAACAGTAGGTGCAGCAGCATCTTCTGTAGCATGTGCAGCAACACCTTCAGAAACAGGTGCAGCAGCATCTTCTGGAGCAGAATGTTGAGAGGCTGCTGTTGCCATGATGGGCTCCCCCTGAGTTGATGCTGGGGAAGGTGAGTTGTTGGATGATGACTCGGAGGTGCTGGAGGACAAGGCTTGAGCCTGTGGTGCAGCAAAGGTGGGATCCCCTGCTTCATCATCAGTTTCTTCATCTACCAGATGAAGACCTCTTCGTGGATTTGACTGAACTGGAGTGCGGCCACCTCTGCCTCCTCTTCTTCCACCTCTGCTTCCTCTTCGGGGAGAGTGTTCTCCTCTTCGGCGTTGTGGCACCGCAGTATTCAGATCTGGAAAAGGGTTCGTGCGTTTTGACCGGCGTGTTGGAAACCTTCCGGCGGTGGAAGAGGGACCCACAAAATCAAAATTGTCTGGGTCAATCGGGTTCAGCTCATCTCCGGGCTCAATGTAGCTGATAGGTAGAGCATCGAAGTTGATTGGGTGAACGATGATGGCCAGATTTGGGTCTGCTGGTACAGGTGCTGCAGCATCGTTGTGAACATCACCATCGACGGCTGGAGGAGGATTTCTAGGTGGGGATGCCATGATACAGTAGATAAAGGAAAATAGCTTCTTTGTGCTTTTGATTTTTGAGTGTGAGTTTTTGAGAAAAGAAGCACTAAATTTATAAGCCCTAATTTTTGCTGAAGGAAGAAAGGACAAAAAAAATTGAAGTGGAGAAGGTGAAGAAGTGGTGTCCGTTTTTCTTGGGGAGAGTGAGATTAAGGAGAATAAAATTTCCTTGGCAGTTTAAATGAAAACCGTGACACATGGCACAATGAGGAGTGGACTTAGTGGAAGATGAAAGACTAACCCATGAACCCCA